CATCTTCTTGGCCAGCTGCAGGACCCGCGTCTTCAGTCGACCTCCTCAAGCCGGCCACACTGCACGTTAAAACGCTGGGTGAGCTGCTTGCCACGCTGCGCTCGCACTTCAACCCGGTACCGTTCACGCTTATGAGGCGGTTCCGCTTCAACAACCGGAGTTGCCGGGTCGGGGAGACCCTCGGGCAGTTTGTCGCTCCGCTACGAGCGTTAGCGAACACCTGCACTTCGACAACCAGTTGGACTCGCTACTTCGGTACCGGTTTGTCAGCGGCATCAACAACCCCGCCATGCAGACGCGAATCCTGGAGCTCCCTGACCCCTCGCTGGACGACGCGGTAAAGGCAGCGCAGGAGATGGAAGCAGCAGCTAAGGACGCCAGCGAGATTGCACGTGCGGTTGGTTCACTGTCGACGGAAGCGAACAAGATGGTGGCAAGGAGTGGTGCCTGCAGCAGCTGCGGTGCTGACCACTCCCCCTCACATTGCCAGTTCACCCAAGCACAATGTTTCACGTGTGGGGGAGAACTGGGCACCTCGCACATGTCTGCCGAGGGGGTGGACGAGCGGCGGCCAGCAGCAGCAGCAGCAGCCTGGTTCAAGCCCGGGTTCCAGCCAAGCCCGCGGCCAGGGTGGCCGTCGCAACAAAAACGCGGCGGGGACGAGTGGCACCAGGTTCAAGTCCCTCCTCAGCCAGGGTCCACGTCGTGGCCGAGGAGCCGCATATTTTCGATGTGTGGCACACCAAGAGAATTTCATCGTCTGTGCCACCTTACTTGGTGTCTGTCGAAGTCTGCAGCCAACCCATCACCATGGAGCTGGACACGGGCCAGTGTGTCGGTCATGGCCAGGAAGTTGTTCAAGCGGACTTTCCCTGGCGTGTCCATCGAGGCGTCGGACGTCATGCTGCGCAGCTACTCCGGGTAGCTTTCCCAGAGTCGGGCCCAAGTCAGCGTTCGCCTTGGCGACAAGGAGGCAATCCTTCCCCTTTATCTAACCTAGGGGTCGTCGCCGACACTTCTGGGCCGAAACTGGATTCACGCACTGGGTGTTCGGCTGCCGGAGTACCAGGACGCTGCCCTGCACGTGGTGAAAGACGTCCCGAGCTTCCTGACAGACTTCCAGTCTCTGTTCCAGCCGGGGGTGGGCACCTTTGCCGGCACGACGGTCAGTATCCACATACCCAAGGGAGCCCGGCCTCCGTTCTTTAAGCCGCGTCCGCTGCCGTTCGCCCTGAAGGACGGGGTCACCCAGGAGCTCCAACGGCTGCAGCGAAAGGGGATCCTGTGCCAGTCAAGACTTCCGAGTGGGCTGCACCGATTGTCCCAGTCCTCAAGCGAGACGGTCGCGTCAGGATCTTCGGGGACTTCTAGGTCATTATTTCGACAACCATGGGACTCTTCCAGTACACGCGCCTACCGTTCGGGGTGGCCTCAGCCCCATCCATCTTCTAGAGGGAGATGGACAACCTCTTTATTGGCATGAGGCACGTGGTGGTGTATTTGGACGACATCCTGGTTACCAATACCGACGACGGGGACCACCTGCAGAACTAGCTGTGCAAACTCCTGACACGACTACAGGACGCCGGTCTCAAGCTGAGTCTGGACAAGTTTGTGTTCCTGACCCCCAGCGTGGAGTACCTGGGACACGTCATCTCCCAGGCTGGCCTGGCCCCAGCTCCCCGCAAGATTGAGGTTGTGCTGAAGGCGCCGAAGCCCAAAAGCAAGAAGGAGCTTCAGAGCTACCTCGGCCTCATCAACTTCTACAGGAGGTTCCTGCCCAACCTGTCGACGCACCTGGAGCCACGGCGTCGCCTGCTTCGTGATGGGCAGCAGTGGGCCTGGAAGAAGGAGCAGGACTTGGCCTTCCAGCGCACCAAAGAGTTAGTCGTCAAGGCTCAGGTGCTGGTGCACTTCGATCCGGCCAAGCCTGTGGTCCTCACAAAGGATGCGTCGTTGTACGGTGTAGGAGCCGTCCTGTCGCACTGGGGTCGGGATGGTCAGGAACGTCCTGTGCCCTACTGAAAAATCCGGTATAACTTTTCACTATCCGGATTATGGAACCGGAAATTTGTTTCTGGAAACCCGAAATCCAGATTTCAGACAAAGGAATATTTTCTAAAATCCTAAATTCTAGATAGAGTCCGGATAGAATCCAGATAGATTTCCGGTTCCATAATCCGGATAGCGAAAAGTTATACCGGATTTTTCGGTAGGGTGGCGTTTGCTTTTCGTCGTCTCCATGTGGCAGAGCAATGCTACAGCCAGCTCGACAAGGAAGGCTTGGCCCTCATGTTCGGGGTCAAGCGCTTCCACCAGTACCTGTGGGGCCGGAAATTCGAGGCGGTCATGGGCCACAAGTCGCTGCTGGGGCTGCTGTGGCCTGACAAGGCTGTGGCAGTCTAGCCTCGCCTCGTGTGGTACGCTGGGCCTTGACGCTGGCGGCCTACAGCTACAAGCTAGTCTACCGCCCTGGGAAGGACCTGGGACCTGCCGACGCCCTGAGCCGCCTGCCCCGGCCGGAGCTGCCTGGTGCCGTTCCAGAGCTAGCTGACGTTTTCCTGCTGGAACGGGCCTACCCGGGGGTACTCACCAGGACTGCGGTGGCGCAGGCGACCAGCCGGGACCCGGTCCTGTCTCAGGTGGTCAAGGTGGTTTCGTGAGGGGAGGAGCTGCGTCACCAGGCGTACAGCCACAAGGCCGCCGAGCTGGGCTTGGAGCAGGGCTGCCTGCTGTGGGGTTCCAGGGTGGTGATTCCGCAAAGTCTCCGGGCCAAGGTCCTGCAGTTGCTGCGTGCAGGCATTGAAAAGACGAAGATGGTGGCACGGTTGTGCATTTAGTGGCCTGGCCTGGACCAGGACATCGCGCACCAGGTGCAAGGCTGCCAGGTCTGCCAGGAAAACCAGTGAGCATCTCGCCACGTGGCAATCACCCCCTGGCCGTTCCCACAGAGGCCCTGGTCCCACTTGCACGTGGATTTTGCGGGACCCTTCAAGGGCCACTACTTCCTTGTGGTAGTGGATGCTTTCTCCAAGTGGGTGGAGGCACTGCCAGTCACTACTCCATCGGCAAGCGCGACCATCGTGGTGCTGCAGCAGGTCTTCGTGGCGCAGGGATTGCCGGACATTATTGTGTTCAACAATGGTCTCGTTTTCGCCAACGCCGAGTACCTGGACTGGCTGCAGAGGAATGGGATCCGCCGGATGCTGGTTCCGCCGTACAACCAATGGTGCAGCCGAGCAAGTGGTACAGACTATCGAGGACAAGCTCAAGGAGAGCCAGCCCGGGGATTTCCGGATGCAGGTGGCCCGGGTACTGTTCCACTACCGGACCACACCCCATGAGGTCACTGGCCGTGCCCCCTGCGAACTTCTGCAGGGCTGGATGGTCAAGACCCCCATGGACGTCTTGCATTCAGACCTCCGATCCACGGCGCTCCTGAAGCAGCTGAAGCAGAAGCTGGCTGCTGATCGAGGGTGCCGTCCCGGGCCTTTGCTGGAGCTGGGAGCGTCGGTCTACGCCAGGAACTTCCGTCCTGGCCCATCCTGGTGTGCCGGACATGTGGTTTCACCAGCGAGTGCCTCGTCGCTGCTCGTCCGCATGCCCGACGGGACTACCTGGCACCGGCACGCCGACCATGTCGGGCCTCGCTCCGGAACCTGGCTTGCACCCTCGGCCGTCGCTTCGGAGGACCAGCCCACGGGGACCAACGTCAGCACCTGTCGCGGCCAGTGGAGCGCCACCCACCATGGAGGTGACAATCGTCTCCAATCCTGTGGCACCAATTGGACCGGTGCCACTTGCAAATCCGGTCCCTGCGGCTCCACCGAGTGGAGTGCGACCGGTTCAGGCAGTGCCCGGCTTTGCCACACCTGGCCCGTCGACACCAGTGACCAGGCAGAGTATGCGGCAGCGAACGCCACCTGATCGCTACTCGCCGGGGTGACCTTCGTCATTGACCGGCGAGGACTTTGCACGACCAGACGCCGAGTTGGTGTCGGCCGTGTGCGTTGTGTATTTATTTTGTTTTGTAGAGAAACAAACGGGGGGAGAGTGTGACAGTATGTAGCGCCCCCTCCAGTCCTCCCGTCGGTGGCCGCCAGGCTCGCCGGGCAACATTGATCACCGTGCCGAATAAACACTGTGGAGCAAATGCTGCTCCGGTCAGTCATCGTCCACCCTCACAACCAGGCTGCGAGTCGTCTCTTCTCGGCGGGTGCTTTGGCCCCCTTCGTCCGCGTTCTAGAAGGATTGTGACAGTCACAATTTCGGGGGTTAGTCGGCCCCATTGAGTGCGCTGTTCATCAAGCATCAGCATACTGTGAACTAAAGCATGTGAAGCAGATGCCACGATTCTATGAATCTCGCTTCTCACTTAAGGTGCATGTTTAAGAGAGTCTTACTTTCAGAGAGGGATAGTGCACATGCAGTATGGCATGCTTAGAAAAAGAATGGAAATTTGTGAGGTGAAATCTACTTTGCACGAACATATTCCAAATAAATATGGCTTTTATGCGAGAATGTATGTTAAGTAGCCAATGTCATGACAGGCTGTGTGATTTCCAGGTGATGCTTGCTTTCCTCAAATTTATGATTGTAGATTGTATGTGGAGATAGAAAATTAATGGATCTGCTCAATCATATTTAATTGGGCATCATTCTAGGTTTAATTTTGTGTCAAATCTCTTATTTCCTTGCCACACCTATGCAGGCCTTCAACTACCTGAGGCCATAACTGCTGAGTAATAGGTACAAACTTCAAAAATGTTATAAATATATTATAGAAAGTAAGCTCCTTGTTTTATTTGTGTATATTTCATATTCAGTATCCCATGAAGGGCTGGAAAAACGGGAAAAGACCATGGTCTGCTGGGACAGTCCTAAGGTCAGCAGGTGTGACCTTGTCGAAGTCCACAAAGTCTTGAAGCTGTTTTGATGCTGAGTTTTAACTCGTCCAGCACCAACCCTCCATGCCGCTCAGCCTCGGACATTCGGGCCGTCCTCAGCTTCAGTCTTCAGCGATTCGGGGTTATATCTGAACATGCCTCTAAAGTTCTGTAAAACAGAGATGGTGCACTTCAATATATTGCAGTCAAATCAGCTATTTTCATGTTTCCAGATAGCTTTAATTCTCCTAGTGTGGTTAGTTGTTTATAACAGTTTTTGATCTGCAGTTTTCTTGGCAATTAGGTATGAGATAGTGATAATCATATGGTCGAAAGCACTATTTGAGTTTTCATGCCTTGATACATCAGACGCATTTGTTGAAAACAATGTTTTTGGACTTCGTTTTTTAAAGCATACATATACATTTTTTCGTCTGCAGTGCGAGTTGTTTTTCTTTTAACAAGACATTTTAAAGCCTGGAATGAAAATGTTATGTTTTTTTATGTTTTCAGCAGTGTGGTGGCAGTGAAAAATGTTAAATAGGCTTATGTGATTCTGGATACATATGGAAAAATGTATACATAACCACCTGTATATATGAAATACAATTTCTCCCTTGGTTTATAATTTATCGTCATAAAATTAAATGGACATTTTTTATGTTGGAAGCAGTTCCTTTAGCTCTAAACAGAGGTATATTCTAGGGTCTATTTGAGTTGTTCTGATTGTAATAAAATTGGCGCCATCTAAGAAAGCAATTTGGATTCTTTGGTAAAGGTTGCCAACTGCTTTTTAGATTCCTCGGTCCTTTGCTCGGGTCTTCAAGTTTGTTGGTTTGAAATGTATGCCACAAAATTCATTTTGATGATTCAGGTTTCCCTGTGAACACACCCAAATTAGGTAACAAATACAAAGTAAAGCTGCTGAGAGTGCATTCAAATTTAGTATGCAAGGGGTGTGAAAAACTCGGGAATGGCACCCTAGTGACGTACAGCCAGTCATGGTTAGAGCAAGCAAACACCAAATAAATATTTCTCCTTTCACCTATTTCATACTTTCAGTGGGACATTGTCTGGTTTGCTCTTCTATCTTGTTGAGTTTTAACTGATGGTCCCTCCAAGAATTAGCTTTTATAATAAATACTATGGTTTAATATCATGTTCATGAAGTCTTGAAGGCTACTATGGGGGTTAGATACACATGAAAAATTCTGTTTCTATATTCTCAGAATCTAAACACACTTCATGAGTACATTGCTAGCTATGCTCAGAAGCTAATAAGGCCACTGAATAACAGGCTGAAGTTGAGCTACTTGGTACATAATGCAAAAGGAAACAGTCATGTGGAACGATAGGGACAAAACACAGACCGGGAGAAACAGACATACAGCAGTGTGTATATCTGTTTCTTCCTGTCTGTTCTGTCCCTATCGCTCTAGCTGGCCATTTCTTTTTGTAATAAGGCCATTTTGTGTGAGAAAATGAGTGTCTCTTTGGTGAGGCTGTAGACACAGGTGGTCAGCGTGTTTATTGTCTCCTCTGTAACATACGTCGTTGCAGTATATCAATCCCTGTTCAGAGTACTGTGCCCTTAAGACATTGAATTAACGGCACACCATTGCAGCTTGCTTTCACGCTCTCTCCTTGCAAAAACCATTGTAAACAAGTCAATGTAAAGGACAGTGGATACCCTCCTGAGCCGTGGCTCCTCACCCTGGTGCCAGGTAATCCTGCTTTGGGATTTGACAAAGTGCTGCAATCAAGCTCATCGATCCAGAAGGTTCGTAGTTGAACCGTGTATGTTATCTGCTGACTAAACATGTACACTCCCCTGCATTATTAAGACCCATTCAAAAATGCAGTTTAAGGTGGATCTCCTAAATTCGCTTCGACCGGGATCACAATTTCAAGGTTAAATTTCATTATTAGAAAACGATGACCAACCAATTCCTAAAACGGGGGCGCCCAACGTTTCAAGGCTTGCTCGGCCTCTTCTTCAGGGGCGACTATGGATGAAAAAAGGTGCAATCTTCTATTTTCTCCATGGTGGCGGCAAAAGCGCACAATCCCTTTTTTGTTTTCATCTACGGCCATTTTTTTCCACGTGGTGGAGCTCGTTGACATACACAGATGGCAATGCGCTAAGAGATCTATTGATGCTTTTTGGCATGGTCTGAATGTGCTTTGAACGTAAACAATCACATTGAGCACATTCAGACCGCGGCAGAAAACATTGATAAGTCTTTTGGCGCATTGCCATCTGTGTATGTCAACAGAGGCTCCACCACGTGACAAAAAAAGTGGCCGTCGATGAAGAAGGGAGAGTGCGCTTCTGCCATCATCATAGAGGAAAAGAGTCTGCTCCTTTCATCCATAATCGCCCCTGAAGAATAGGTCGAGCAGACATTGAAACATTGGGTCCCTGTTTTAGGAATTGGTTGGTCGTCGTTTTCTAATAATTATTACCCCAACCAGGCAGACTTTCAGATGTTTACGTTTACATTATATTTTTAGGTTGAAATGTGTATGGGTTGTTTTCATGTTTCTGAATAAAATATGTTTGTAAACCAGAACACTTCTCGTGCAGGTGCATGGTCATGAATAGACAAAGTTCAAACCGTGGAGCACACTCAACAGGCGTCACAAAACATAAGAAACAGCAGTACAAGTTTCACACCAGCACTGCCATTATCTTGAATGGAACACGGCCAGCAGTCTATCACTTTATAAAGGTGCAGAGATGTGTATAGAGTATACAGTTACATGCCACTAAGCAACTCCTTGAGTGCCTTGCATGGCCTCGCGATTTATAGAAATAGGTCTGCAAAAAATAGCCTTGACTGCATTTCCAAACCTTAGCTAGGATTACACATAGCCTAATGCTTTTTGGAAACCTGGTTCTGAGTTTACACATTGCGACACAGCACGAACAAGCCTTTGCCATTTAATTTTGGTGAATCAAATGCTATCGCAGACTATTTAGGTTTTAGAGCAAGCTCATTTAAGGTATCATTTATAGAGAGCTCACTTAGGTGGCAAAAGTTTACGTGTTTATATTCGCTGTCCGAGAAATAGATTGTTACTTCATGTTTGGATGATTCACTCTATCATTAAAGAAGCAGTCAGATGCGAAGAGCTGTTATGTTTAGTTTCTTATTGTTCTTAGCATTCTTCACCAGTGTTGGGGAGAGGTTGGTCAGTCCGGCAACCACAACAATGATTTCGTCGTAGAATTGGACGAGTGTGTGTGGAACAGTTCGTCCCTATCTTCCACTTCTTAAAGTGGCCAATCGATCTTTCCGCAATGATCTGGAAAGAGGAGTTCTCTAAGAGTTGGTCACCTCCTGTTCCGTGAGCTGGAGTCGGTTCTTTGTAAAGCTTTGCGTGATTACATGCACATTTCTTTCGAAAAAATTCCCGTGCAACAGGAACCCTCTGGTCAGCCAACACTTAGTCACCAACCTTGAGAAGATCCATAAATCCAGAAAAATTTATCTCCTGTAGTTAGGAAACTAAAATATAATAAATTAGGTGTACTAAAACAATAATTACCGCTGGCAATGGTGAGCTCTTTGTCGGAGACCTTCCCTCCGCATGCCCTCGAGACAAACACGACTGCTCCATAGGGGTTGACTGCCACTAGATGCTTCAAAGTAGAGTTATGTTTGTAGCTACTCCACACAACCTGTTGTGTATCCAAGTTCAGAGGCCTGAAAGCAAACATATATTCCGGTTGCATACTACAAGAACAACATTCAAGAACAGCTGGTCTTTCTTTTGAAAATTGTTTTCCAAGAAGGGTATGTTTGTGCAGCTTTAGCAGGTAGCGAACCAAGCTGAAGGCACTTCCCCAATATACACCTTGGATGCTATAACTAAGTGGTTTTACTTTCAAGATGCTCATATTTTAACTTGATTCAGTGTAAACTTTCCATAAGAAACTCTCCTCAAAGCTGACACTTCGGTGGAGTCAATGACAGGTCGCAACTTGGAGAAGTGCCTCCGCTCTTTCAACGTGAGCCAGCTTCGAGCTGCCTCGGGCCTTGGGAAGGCGATCAACCCCCAGCACAGTTGTGTCATAGCTTCCAGTCAGGCTCTGAAGGTTCGGCTTACCGCCCTAGGGGAGACCTCAAAGCAGTAAGCGAGGTCTTGAAAGGCCATGTTGTGTCTGAGCTTCATCAGGAACATCAACAGCTGAGCCCCCAGTGGAAAGCCACTTCGGGCAACAGGTATGAGGGGTGTGAGAGTGCTCAAGATCATCATGCCTGCAAAGTATAATATATGTCAATCTCTGTCATGACAAAATACAAACAAGGCGACTATGTACGTAAATGTTGCACAGTGAGACACTATAAGTCAAGCAATCCTGAAATATAGAACATACCATTTTCTCTACTTTTGGCAAGCTGTGAGAGGGTAATCTGCTGTAGTGTTGTTTGTTGACCTCAAAAAGTGGCATCAGATTCACAGGCAAGTCAAACAATGAAGTCGCATATAACAAAGCCCATGTTACAATGCACCACTCAAGTAAAGTTACCTGCATAAGATAGCACCATGTCATCACACTTGGCAGTGACATTCTTGTTCAGCATCTGCTTGTCTCTAAGTGCTTTAGCTTATTCTACAGCGAAGGAACTTCTGCCTTAAGAGTCTTAGTTTCCTTCATGAGGTTGCTGCAGTTTGTGCAGCAAGCAGAAATTGGCTGTCAGAACCTCCACCTTACTGTAGGACATCTGAAATAAAAGAAACATCACTGATGAGACACTGAATGAAGGAACTGCAGGACGCAAAACAGTAAACATACTGTAGCGAGTTAGTCTCCACAGACTTGTCACTCCACAGTCTGTTCAGATTCCTCCACATTGAATGTGCTTGCTTGTGCCTGCGGCACTTGTGATGCTGCTTGAGCTCGCTGCAACGCCAATGATCGCTTCCCAGTGATCAGCGTGTGTTGTTGGTTACTGGTAAATAAAATTGCAGAGAAATCAAAGATTGTGTTGACACTGAGATACAAATAAATTGTGAGCTACCTTTTTGTTTTCTTTTCTGACTGTTGCATTGTTTGAGCATCATAGGGATGGGATGTAGTCCACGTGATTAGGATCAGTGTTCGGTGATCCTGTATAAAGAGAGAGGCGCATGAAGTCAAGACTGGATACTCATAAACAAAACAAGCATGTTACATAAGAGACTCGAAACGTATGTGGTCCTAGAATTTATGTGCTGCATACTCACACAAAAATATCTGCACGACGCGGATAGGTCTGCTTTTTTTTTATGTAAAATACGATTTTTCTTAAGAAACATGGTTTTTGTATGTCATGTTCACCGCCCACCGCGAGTTGAACGAAGCAGGCTTGCTTTCGTAAGGCCTCGAGGACTTCGAGAACAAGTGCTATACTCCAGTCTTGAGCTGGTCTGGCATCAGTAACAACGAACGATGAGACAAGGCCACAGTACGCGAGCGAGCCACCCTGGCCACGTGCACTGTCGGCAATGAACATTTTTTAAATAGTGTTCACAAGCGCTCAAGTTTGGCAATATTTGAGCACTGCATTTCATTTAAACTAACATACTTTTGTGTCAACAAGCGCTTCTATTTTAATGACCATCCTCAATCGATCTCGCAGACACCATGTACTGTTTGATCCAAAAAATAATCAACGCCTGCTTCTCAGGCTATCCTCTTTCCTTTGGGGTATTAAAAGATGAACTCAGAAATTGTTGTTTCATGTGGCTCCTACTTACAGCAAAACGGAACACGACACCACTCCCCTGTAACGAAATAAGCCTTGCATAAACGGGTTCCAACACTCGGTTGCCACAGGTTGCCTCGCTGCATTGCTCGCTTCATTGCTCGCTTCACAGCGACAGCCCACCGCAGTTTCCGTGCTTCGTTCCACGGAATCGAAACATCTTCCCTTTGTGACTTGTGTTCAAACAACCAACCGCAGAGCAGTGAACCAATGTTTTGTTGGAATACAGCCCAGCGGTAGCTCTCACGGTTCGGCTGTCAATGCGCCCACATTTCCGCTCGAACCAGAAGTGCAAAGTCACGTGATGTTGAGTATCCGGTGACGACACTTCTTACCAAAATGCCGGTCACCTATTGGTCGTTCATGTTGCCGAAGACGTCGCCATAGCAACAGCCCACTCTCGCGGAGTTAGGGAGCTTGTGGGCCACCAGAAGTTCTAGTTTTTCTGTATGAGAATCTTGCTTTCCCCCTCTCATTTAAGAACGCATTCATGATTACCGATTTCTCCTCTCCTTACGATGTTCAACTTCTAACCTAACCTAAGAAGCTCTCTGTGAATCTGTCCTGGGGAAAGACTCTGAGGTCGCCGTTCCGCGTCATAGCGCTCTTTGCTGTTTTCCTTGGTTACAAGCTCTTTTTCCGTGATGAGCTTCTTGGCCTCCTCCCAACGTTCGGCGATGTCCTCATTCGGTGTCATTTGCAGCTCATGAGTTCAGAGTCCCAGTGTGGCATCGATAGGCAATGTTTTGGCTCCCTTCCGTGAAGGAGGAAAAACGGCGAGTACCCGGTTGTCTCGTGCACTGCAGAGTTGTAGGCAAAGACGACGTATTTGGGAAACCGGTCGCAGTCTCAGTGACGAGTGGACACATACTTGCTGATCATCGCTGCCAGGGTTCGGTTAAATCTTTCGCAGAGGCCATTGGTTTGTGGGTGGTATGCAGTGGTAGGGGCGTGGTTAGTGCTTGTCAGCTGGAATAATTTTTCCATCATCTCCGCTGTGAAATGACGTCCTCTCTCCGTGATGACTCGTTCCGGTGCCCCTTGCCTGAGGACCATTGAATCCATGAAAGCCTTTGCTGTGCGGGTCGCCATTGCCTCAGGTGTTGCCACTGCCTCCACCTGGGTGTAATAGTCAACCATCACCACGATGTACTTGTTTCTCCCATGAGACTCTGTCAGCGGGCCCACGAAGTCCATCCTGATCTGCTAGAAGGGATGCAGCGTTGGTTCAAGTGTTTGTTGTTTTCCTGACGGCTTTTGGTTAGGAGTGTTCCTTGTCTGACAGTTGGGGCATGACTGCACGTAGTGTGTGATCTCGGTGAAAATTTTTGGCCAGACGTAGCATTGCCAGATTTTCTTCAGCATCCGTCTCACCTTGAGATACCCCGTTGTGGTGTCGTCGGAGCACGCGGCAAGGATCTCGCGCTGCAGGGTTCTTGGCACTGTGAGCGCCAGCCATTCCTCAGCAAAGCCCTTGACTTTTCCTCAGAGGACACCGTCCACTAGAAAGAAAGGTTTTGTTGTTCTCTTCATTCTTTTCCCAACTGGTTGCTCCGGTTCCTCAAGATGCTTGATGATCGGCCTCAAGAAAGGATCGTCGGTTGGAAGTTTGCTGAAGTCTTCTTTGGATGCCATTAGGAGCGGCAGCTCTTGTTCGCCATCAGGTGCAGGGCCATGAAGAAGCCGTGACAGTGCATTTGCGTTCATGTTTTTGCTCCCTTGTCGGTGCTTTAAGGTCAGGTTGAATTCTTGTAGCATCAAACTCCAGCAGATAAGACGTCCATTTGGTTTTCTCACTGTCATTAGCCACATGAGGCTGGCCTGATCTGTAACGATTGTAACTGGTGTGCCAAATATACACAATCGAAACTGCTTTGTGGCGTAGATAACAACCAAACATTTTGCTCGATTGTGCTGCAGCTCGTCTCCGCCGTGTTCACCTTTTACGAGTTTTCGCGTTATGCATCCTTCTTTGAAATCAGAAGCAGCGAAATGACGACTGCACACAGTTGAGTAGCAGGAGGTGGTATTTGGGGTCCATTCGTCTTTTGAAATGACTTTTATCCACTTTTGCCGCAACTCTTTGTCGCTCGGAACATTGTGGAATGAAATCTCTGCTTTCTTCTTTTTGCTTGAGGACTTCTAGCCAGGTACGCAACAGTAAGCCATAACACTTCACGCGTGTCATCTGAGCAAAGTGGAGCAGTTGAACCACGGAGACTTGTCTTTATATGCCGCTGCATAGGCAGAAAGGAGAGAAACTCTAAATAACTTTTTTGATTTCTTATTGAAATGTGCTCAAAGGTATACGAAAAAGTCTCGCAATAAAGAACTGCGATGTAAACACATGGTACAAACGACGTGGTTTGTTTACATGCACCGCCTCATTTATTGCCACGTGTCATCTGCTCATGCAACAGAATGAAGCAACAAACACATATACTTGCTGAAAATACTACGCACCGTTTGTGTTGTAGATAAGGGCTGTGACGAACGTTGGCGACAGTGCACTTGAACAAAAGTTTTCTGGAGATGACCCGCCGTCACAGAATACTGCCGCTGGCTGCGCCGACTCGATTCTGGGATGCTATAGCGCCCCTCGCAGACAGCTAAGTGGAGGAAATGGAAGGTGACTGGACAGGCCCGTTGGAGTGATTGCTCGGGCACAAAAAATATAGGAGGCTATGTCTCGAGCCTCTGTAATGCCCTGATGATCACGAATGACTCTCGCTCAATAGTGGCCCAACAAGTCTCGGCAGGGGCAGTTTTTAATTAAGAAAGGCAATTGGGTTTTCTCCCCCATTTTCATCCTCCTGAGGCATGCTTCGATTGCAAATTCCGAGGCATCTGTGGCCAGGATATACTCCTTTTTCTGATCGGGGGCAAATAGAGCAGGTGCCTGAGCTAGTCGACTTTTTACCTTCTGGAATGCTTCTTGAGCCTCCATTGTCCATGTCAGCTTTTGCGGTATACACTTAGCAGTTTGGTCTGTCAGTGGAAGAGCCAGCCGAGAGTAGTCGGAGACGTAATCACGGTAATAATTAGCCAATTCCAGAAAGCTATGTAGCTTCTTTTTTGTTTCTGGCTTAACCATATCCTGAATCGCTTCTACTCTCTTTGGGTCAGGACCACGTCTTCCCGATCCCACTACGTGTACTAAGAAATTCACTGCATGCAAATCTACACTTCTGCACGTTGATGGTTAGTCCAGCAACTGCAACTGCCGCCAACACCTCTAAATGGCCCAGGTGCTCCCCTCAGGTCTTAAAAAAAGTTGCGGCATCGTCAATGTATGCACATGCATACTCAGCATGTGGTGCCAACATCTGTTCAATCCTCTGGAACGTGGAGGCCGCGCTTCAGAGCCCGGAGGGAATTACCCTCCACGCGTATTGCCCCTGCGAGGTCACTAATGCGGTGTAATACTTTGCTTGTTTATCCATCGGCA